GTCCCAGAAGCCTTCAGCCTCCAGTTCCCAGTAGTGTGTCCCAGAGGAGACAGACTGAACTGTGAGGATCTGGGGCCAGTGGTCAAAGCGTTCAGGATGAGTCGGATGGGACAGGTGCCTGTTAACTCGAGTGACAGAACGAAGGTCCTCTGCAACATTCAGAAGAGGATGAGCTGTGTTCAAGTCCAGGGTTAATGGGCTGGTCACTGGATGTAGAAAAATAGTTTAGTAATAATTTAGGTTTGTACTTTTTGTTCAAACATTTCATCAAAAGGAATGGACTTACATAGCTCCCTCTTGAGTTCACTGAGGCTGCGCAGAGTGGATGTGATGAACTCTCTGTACCTTCTCTCTATTTCCTCTAAGATGGGCTTCCTGTCCAAACTGATGGGGTCAGGATTGAATGGAGGGCTGTTCAAGCCAGATAAAAGTCTAAAATATACAGAAAAAGGCAAACAACTAGTTAAAAACTGCCCACTACTGCTTTGTTTTGGAATCTACTGTGTGACTTCTATGTATGTCTATGTGCCTTTTCTACCTACATTACATACAATCAAACAGTTGAAGACACAACATCTACAAGAACGATCAAAAGTAAGACTCACTTTGTGTCATCTGACTGAAAAGCCTAAGAGAATGCAAAAGAAATATGAAATCCTTTGTGAGTAAAAAACTGAGAATAGTAGGTTGTTTCAAAATTGTATTTGAAATACAAAAAATACATATATAAATACATAAAATAAAATTACTGGTAACTCAAATTCATACAGTATTATCTTTATATCTATAAATAGTACAGAAAAATTGGCAACACACAGTGAAGCTGCACAAAAGCAGTATGTGATCCATTTCTCAAACATACACCCCTTGTTGAGAAGATAAATTGGCTTACATAAGACTGTGTGATCAGCACTGAGTCTTACCCAAATGAGCAGGAAGGGGTCTGTTTCTGCCTGCAGCGCGGACAGGTACTCCTGGATACTCTGTGTCTGGCTCACATCCCGTCTCACTTTGGTGCAGTCTTCCTGGACGCGCTCAATGATCTGCTGCCTCTGTCTCTCGGTCAGCTCCCTTAGAGACATGACCAGGGTTTTCACTTGAGTTTCCAGGTCTGCGCCCATGCGCTCCACCTGGACCTCATCCTCCTTCAATGACTCCTATAGAAGAGAAAAAGATAGATCTTGCATGTGAACAGATCAACAAAACTAAATGATGTAAGGATTGTTATGACTTACAATTACAGTGCAATCACTATTTTCATGTTCTTTAAGAATTTTCTCCCCATTTTGTATCTTGTCTTCTGCCTTTTGAAGCAGTACATTGAGAATGGCCTGTAAAACATAAAAAACTACAACCTTTGTAGTGATTATTATACATTACCCAACAGTATGAAGAATGCAGTATGAATATGAATATGCTAATATTCTCATTTCATGTATTGAAAGTAGACAGAAACATCTGTAAAATTAGGATATTGATGACCTTCAGATCGTCTTCGACCTGCTTCAAGGCCTTAACTTGGTGTTGTGCATGACTCCCATCCAGCAGACAGTCCCCACACACATACACGCGCTCATCAGTGCAGTAATAGCGGTATATCTCTGAATGACTGGGACACCTTCGCAGGGAAAGGTCACTCAGTGGATCCACTAACAGGTGGCTACTAAACACTAGTCGCTCCAAATGAGGCTGTAAATGTTGGGCACATAGAGACACTTCACATCTCAAGCAGGTCTTCACAGCCAATGCCTTTGCTGCCTCAAGAGGGCAGCAGTCACATAGCACCTCACATGGCTTGTCCTGGCACTGTGGGCAGGCGAGACGTTTGCAGTCAATCCATGCCTCACGGATACATGACGAGCAAAAGCTGTGTCCACATGGCAAAGGCTGAGATTGGCTGAAGATGTCTCGGCAAACAGAACAAGAGAGGTCTTCCTCGACAGAGCCCATTGTGACTCAGCAGCTGAGATGCACCTATAAGAAACTACACAATATTAAAAGAAACATTACATGAAAATTATTTCTTTTGACTAAGATGATTTTGTATTTACTAATGAAACACATTTTTATGATCAGGCAACAGATCAACAGGTCAGTCCAACATAAAATTAAATTAATCTGAATTCTTATCATGGACGTTGCACCAGTATTATTAGCCAAGGGATCAGGAGATTATCCCAGACTGACTGCACACTGACCTCAGTTCACCCTTAGGATTTCTATGCTTTAGTACAACCCAAACTTGTATCAGCTCATCTCGGTCATATCATCTGATTGTTAAAAGTCAATGAAAAAATAAAAGCATATTACCTGCTCATGACCCAGCACTGTGACTCTTTGGCCATTGATAAGCGGCACTGGAGTGCTTAGGAAGTTAATCCTGTAGGAAGTCTTTACATCCTGGTGTTCACTTCTGTCAAGGCACTGGACACAAAAAGATCACATGATCATAGGATCTGCCTATTCCAAAGGAAAAAGTTGATCAGGTATCTATTATTGATGTATAATGGTTTTTCTTATTCACATTTTGCCTTCTGATTAATTATAGATAAATAAAACAAAAAACAAAAAACATAATCATCTGAATAATTAATTAGCCAAATAATAGTCTCAAGTAGCCCCACTCTAAAGCAAGCAATCCATTCTCTTTTCTTCACTGAGTTTAAATAAAATGAAAGACAAAAAAAACCCCTGCAGCCTATAAAATATCAACAAATGATACTCATTGTTCCTTTGATGATGTTGGCTCAAATCTGTAAAGCATACAGATGTTTCAAGAAAGACACCGCCCCCTATAGACTGGTGTGAAAAATAACGAACTCAGAAATGCAAACAGAATAGGCCTGTATAAAGTCGTGCTTATTGAAAATATAGGCTCATAGCTATCGCTGTTCAGTGCAATATTATGCCGCAAGGAAATTATTAAAACAACTAATTTCAAGCCCTTGAAACAGGGCTGTTAACGTTGGCAAGTTCAGTAAGTAAAAATGCACTGTTAAGAGAGACTTGAATGTAGGAGACGGCACAGGAACCCTGTGCTTAAACAGAGCAGCTCGTGCAGGAGAGGTCTTTCTTATGTTAGATGCACACAGAGCATCGTGGCCACCGTCTCCCACAGGACCGTCTGGCGGAGAGGGCCATTAATTATAACAGACAGACAGCTACCGACCGACAGACGGACAGACGGTACCGCAGAGGAAACAGACAGGCTGAACAGGAGCGGGCCCTCAAACACAAAAACGAGGAGTGGTGGAAAGAACCCCCCCTACGATTAGCTGCTGCTGGGTTAGCTTATAGCCTGATGTACAGTCTCGCTTTCATACAGGTGCACATAAGGTAAAACATCCAGACATACAAATCCTTTGTCCCCCGAGTGGTTTAAAACAGCTACTGGAGACGGAGATAAATAATTGAACCAGAAAATGCGGTTGTCCGACTGCGCATCCCAGGGAGTGAACAGGGAAATGCAGCGCCAGTGTCCCGGCTGAGAGACGGATCACACCACCTCGTCTGCTTTTTGACCCTTTGCCACGAATATTTTCTACCAAAGATCATCGTTTCCGACATGGTAAGTGTTATGATCTTATGTTTAAGGTGGTCAAATCGACGACGATGGTCTGGTGGGGAAAAGCACATCCGGGATTGCGTTTGCGAGGAGTCATAATTTTATGAATCATAACTTGTTATGATATGGGAGCGCGCCTTGCGCGCAACAGGTCGCAGACGCGGTACAGTATCTTGTTGGAGCGCGCCTACAGTGATCAAAACTAAGGTCAGGCGTCGAAGACATCTGAAGCCTACAGACAAAATGGCACGACAAAAATACGAAAACTAAGTCCTAAGATAAAAAGCTGTACAAAATCGACTGTATGATGGATTTTTGGGGGGGAACGTAAAGTGTAGACAACAGTTGCGCTCATTGCTCTAGGGCACATGATCATTTCATTTTAATTAATAATTAGGCCCACATGATTGATAATTAATTAACAAAAATAATTGAATGATTACTGGAAAAAGAACAAGAAACACCATTATTCTTAAAAACTGTACTCTAATATGAATCCATATTATATCTGCAAGTATTATTTTGTAAGCCACATGGGCCTATTATAGGACTATAAGCCTGTTACAGACAACATATGATCACATTTTACATACACAGTCATTTATGCCATCATTATTATTCAAAATTGTATTTCTATATAGACTTATTTTATTTAGAAATGAATAATGATTTCATAGAGATCAATAGGCAAAAATAGCAGAGGTATAGAGTCCTCCTTCCATGGTGTGGGCTTTTACAGCACGTGTTAAGCAATGAGATGTGGATAAAAAGAGGGCATTGTGTCCAGTCACTGGCCTTATGTGTTGGTGAGGCTCCAAGAGGGTGATGTGCACTCAGCTGTGGTGCCTCCTTTCCATTGTTGCAAATACCAAAATTCCACATAATTCAAGACATTTACACAGGCTAACCCTGATTGTCACAGAATTCCCCACAGCAATGATGACATGCATAACTATATTTTTATGTTAAGTTTGGACGATTTAAGTATCTTTAAACACAGTGAAGTGCACTTGTGTTGACCCTCCTATTAAAGCTACACATCCGCAAATTACTTGTGTGAGTCATGTTAAATCAGGAAAGGATTTTTAGGTGATGAAGTTCATTGCAATAGGCTTTCATTTAAAGGCAGGGGACACTTGGCTCAAAAGAAGGAGCATGCACTCGCCATTTGAATGTAAAGTAGTGGATGAACAAGTGAGCTGTGTGTAATGAAAGAGAGAAAGGGAAAGAGAGCCAATGGTGAAATTTGTGAAAAGGGAGACTTGTTGAGAGACACTGTCACACATGTCAACTGGCTCTTTCGCCTTCAATATGCTCAAAGTTTTATTTTCTTTTTTTTGTGACACAAATTTTTCAGAGCGGGATGTAGCATTTCATAGATATACTTATTTTTGTAAACTTTTATTAATTTAGTTGCCTACTTTTTGGTGTCCAGATAGATAAAATTAAGGTTGTTTGCTGGCCATTGGTCCCCTGCGTGGGTCCAGTCCTGCAGAGGCATGTCCCGTCGGAAACAGAAACAACCCCAGCAGCTTTTGTACCTGACCTCAGCTGCCAGTCGGATACCAGAGAATGGTGAGAAATAGACTACAGAAAATTCTCTTACTAAAGGCCAATGATGTATTTGTTTTAATAAGATTTAACAACATGTCTTTTACTTTCACACAAAGATGGCATTGACGATAACAATAAGTGGTTTTGATGTTACAGTTGCAAATCTATTGGTTAAAACACTAAAATAATATAAAATTGTTTATATAATATGATGAAAAATGGTCCTCAGTACTAATATAACTTGAAAGCCTTTGACCTGTTTATAATCTATAATCTTAGAGCTTTGTTGCCAGGCTCTGAAGCATGTTCAGACTCTAGTTACTTGATTTACTTGGTTTGTGCTCAGTTTATGTGTAGTGTCTGTAATCCCACTTCTATACTCTTTGGGTCCTAAATTCTCTATCTTTGGCCATGCTTCCTACAAATATTTCACACTGTTCTCAGTTAAGATGATGGATGTTGATTGATAAAATTTGATTGAGGTCCTATTGTCTTGGAAACAGTTTGCCTTTTCACTAAAAGCTTTTGAGTGCAAGTGTTTCTGTCTACACATGTGTGGTCTCAGGGCCAGGCAGACAAGATGGGAGGACAAAGGGGAAAGTCACAATGGGAACTAAAGTGGTTGTTATTAAAATTATATTGTAATTATTTGTTTTTGTATTTGTAATGGTTAATGTAACTTATTTGTTGTTGTTTTTTTTAGATACTCCATTGGCAGTGAAGTCACACGCTTCATTGTTTACCCCAGACTCTTCTTTGGGCTCATCCATCACGCTGCAAAGATCTCAGCTTTCCCGTAACTCCAGTCTATCTCAGAAAAGACCCTACAGTGTTTGCACAGAAACCACCAGAGAGACCTGCTGTAAAAGTCATCCTCTTGAAACACCGCCTTTTATTTCCACACCAGAGATTCTTAGGCCCTCCATCTCCTTCACATCTTCCCTAAAAGAAATCTTCTTTAATTCTCAAATGGCTTCTCCAAAGTTGGGGCTATCAGCTACCACAACCTCCTCTTCATCATCACCATGTGCCTCCTTATGTCCTCCATTGCATCCTGGAAGCCCAAGTCGCGTTCCTGAGGGACCGCCCAGTCCTGTTACCCCCGTCCCGAGCCCAGGAGTTACATCTGCAGCTGCTGCACCACCTCGAATGCAACTCAGCATTGCCCTAATTCTGGAAGAGCTGCGTGTGCTCCAGCAAAGGCAGATTCACCAGATGCAGATAACAGAGGAGATCTGTAGACAAGTGCTGCGGTTGGGTGGTGCATCTTACAATATAGAAACACCCTCACAACATTCTTTATCAACACTTCCTCAACTCTGTCTGGAAGGAGACAAGCGTGCACCAAGCCCTGCAGTTACATCATCTGGAACTCAACCAGCCACCTCTGTGGCTCCTCTGTTAGCATGCTTCTCCTCTCTTCTTCCCACGCAGGCAACCAACAAACCTCCGAAACAAAGCAGTTCCTTATCTCAAATCCTTCAGCCCCACAAACCTACAGTTGAAGGCTCCAGTGGGAGTGCTGGAGCTTATGTCTTTTCAAAAATTACTCCTCAATCAACCGCTCAGTCGCCTTCTCCCATGGCTTCCTCAACATTTCCACTGGCCCTCTCTTTAGCTATGCCCAGTCGTCATCTTCATGAGAAGTCCTCAAATACAACTCCATTAAGTGGGCACAGTAGTTTATCCTCACGAAACTCAATGCCTACATCAGTATCTAATAGTCAGCACACTCAGCAGTTAGCCTCTGAGGCAGACTCTGCCTCCACCTCTGGCCGCCTTCTGCATGTTTGTCGTTTTTGTGGCAAATCCTTCAGCAGTGACTCAGCCCTGCAGATACATCTGCGCTCACATACAGGTGAGCGTCCTTTCCAATGTCCAGTCTGCTTCAGTCGCTTCACCACAAGAGGAAACCTGAAGGTGCACTTCCTTCGCCATCGAGAACAGAACCCAGAACTTTCACTTTCACTGCTTCCTCCTTCTTTGTTTGGGATGGCATTAGGGAGTAGTGGAGGTTTGGACATTGGGCAGAGCTTGAATAGTGGGAACAGCCAGAAGATGAGAAAAAGATTTGAGGAAGGGCCAGAGGCCAGTGGTTCAAGTACTGCTTTATCAGGAGGGGGAACGGAAAAATCTACTCCTTCATCCTTACCTCTCCCTCCTACTGTGGACCTGGCTTTATTATCACAATCTTTGTTACAGCTTAACAGAGCAGCAGCTGCTGTAGCCTCAATAACAGCTAGCTCAACAACTGCCTCCTCTTCGACCTCCTCTGCTCTATCTTCCTCCCTCTTCTCCAGCCCTCCACTGGTTTCACCCTCTACACTCACGGGAGCATTCAAAAATTCAAAGCATTTTGATGAAAATACCCCTCCCCATGTCCCTATTCTTTCTCCTGGTCCTTACTCCCAACTAGCCCAACATTCCAAGCTTCTTTTTCCATCTGTATCCTCTTCACCTGCTGCCTCCATCTTCAGTCATCCTGCTTTGGGGTTTCTGCGCTCTCCAGTTCCTACAAATCCAAACCTGCACCACCTCACCTCAACTAGTCATTCTCCAATGGCATTTACATCTTCGTCTTTAGAGAGACCCTCATGTCCATCTACCACTACCCAATGCTCTCTGTCTTCATCAGTGGCCACTTCAATACCTACATCTGAAACATCCAAATTGCAAAGATTGGTGGAGAAACTAGAAAAAGTGTCTTCTCAAACCTCATCTTTATGGGTGCCATCGAGCAGTACAGTTACTTCATCGGGTCTACCTAGCTGTTGTTTCACAAATGCCAGCACCTCAACAACTTATGTAATGGCATCCCCAACATCCTCAGCACTGGTTGATACTTCGGTTTCAAACTTAGCACATAATGTAGTTGCAGCTCTTGGATTGAGTGCAAATGGATCAAGCAATCTGGCAGGAAGCCAGCTCTCAGCATACAATATGATAGGGCTGACTAGCAATTTAGTGGCCAATCAGTGTAGCGTTTGTTTAAGAGTTATGAGTTGTCCACGTGCACTGCGCTTACACCAGGCTACACACCTTGGTGAGCGGCCATTTCCTTGTAAGTTATGTGGCCGATCCTTCTCTACCAAAGGCAGTTTGAGATCTCATTTGGCAACACACCACGCTCGACCAGCCAATGCCCGTGTCCAGAACTCCTGTCCATTATGCCAACGCAAGTTCACCAATGCTCTTGTGCTTCAGCACCACATACGCATGCATCTTGGTGGGCAGCTGCCCCCAGGTAGTTCAGATGATCCCACAGCTCAAACTTCAGAGGAGTGTAATGAGAAAGCATTGCCACAAAGTCAGGGTCAGTCCACTGAACCAGGCACAAGCAAAGCACCTTTTTTTGAGACAGACCTGCCAAAGGGCCCAGCTTTAAATTCACAAAATCAAACCTCTGCAACTCTCTCTGTGAATGTTACTCATGATGCAAAATCAAAAGATGAATGCAATTCTCCATCTGCAAGTCCTTGCCTCACCACACAGCCTATTTCTGACTCCCCTTCAGATCCCTGTACAGAACCCACTCCTCCAAGAAGTGTGGATCAAATCAGTAGCATGCTCCCATCAGATGACCAGCAAGTAGAACAAGACACAGGAGTTAGTGATCAGCAGACAGCAGAGTCTCAGGGGTCTCTCTCGAATGCATTACCAGAACCTTGCGTGACAAAAAGCACCATGTCTACAACAGCAGAGACTGTAGAGTCCCTCATGGATTTGGAAGAAGCTGAGGCATCCACTTCCTCTGATATCTTCCCATGTTCTGGATCATCCATTGAAAACATCTGTGAGACCTTGGTATGCTTAACACCTGAACCAACTCATAATCAAGAAACCTCTCTTGTAAATACACAACAAATTCTGTCAGAATCCAAATCACCAGAACCTGCAAAAGCTGAGAAAGACAATCTTTCCAAATCTGGAACACCAAAGCAGGACCACGTGTCTGATAAAGACCCAAAAACACCATCCGCTTTGGAGACAATAGATCCAATTGCTGGTGAAGTAAACAGTCCATCATCTTCTGCTTTTGTTAAAGAAACACAAAAGCATTTTAATTATGGATCTTATGAAAAGGAAGACACTGCAGAGTTTAGTGAAGCAGTGGATGTGCCCATAAGCCTAACTCCAACACTCCCCTCACCTATGTCTCGTCCAGAGAAGAAGACGTACTGCTGTGCAGAATGCGGGAAAGAATACGCCAGCCGCAGTGGCCTGAAGGTAAAAAATTTATATATTTTGTACTACTTTGCTACTTGTATTGTGAGTAAATATAAACTACTCAAACCTCTTTTTTCAAGGGTCACATGAAACATCATGGAGTGTATTCAAAAACTCGGCCATCAGCACGCAGCAGCCGCTCTAGCTCTGATACAGTCAAAACTCCAGTGAGCTCCTTGAATGTTCCTGCCACAAGGAGCTCTGCTAGTTTTTGGAACCAGTACAAAACCCTCCTCAACACCGGTGCTGAGACTCATGATGCCCCCTCAGGCAGCCAGGGGGAGACTGAGCCTGCCCGGTCTGTGCGCTCTGCTCGATCCAGGATGGAGTCAAGAGCTGCTGTTGAGGCTCATAAAGGGGATGAAACATAGGCTTTCCGTCATAGCACAGTAGGCAATGGCTTACTGTATGGTGAAAATGTTTTTGTGTAGTGTTGTTTTTTAAATCATGAATCAAGCCGTCAGATTGATAGTTATTGTAATTTAATGTGTGTCCTATTGTGCTTAATAAAGACAAGACTAGTGCTCAAATCTTAAAGGGAGAGTAAAACTGATGAAAGTAGTTTAAGTTTTAAAACATGTTTATGGTGTCCATAGTAGTTTGGAGAGACTATTTCATAACATGTCAGATCTCCCTCTTTTTGCATTTATTTTAATTTTTATTCATTATGACTATTGCTAATGATTGCTGTAGGTATAGTTTTAATGTTTCTTTGATCCAGGAGCTGAGAAATAATCTAATCAAAAAAACCAACCTGTAAAATATAGCCTACTTTGCGCCAACAATAAAACTAGACAGTGTCTGTGCAGAATCTCGTCATCCATGTGTAGATCAGATAAACTAATGTTTCATTGTGTTTTTTATTAGTCTTGTTGTCAAGCCAGAAGCACAGTCCTATAGCTTGTTATCAGTGAGCATAAGGTGTTCAATGTAACTCTTGACCTTAATATCTGTAACTGCCTTTTTGTGATATTACTAAACCATGAATTGAGGATAAACATCTGATGCCTGTCTTAAATGTATGTCACAGTTTCCCAGTATTAAAACAAAACGTTGATTTGCATCAAATTATTATTTACACACATGAGGAGATATAGCATATTTGTTTCTTAGATTTTAAATATGGACATATCAGAACTGTACAGTACCACACCACTGGTTACTGAAAATGCACTGCTGTTATGAAATAGTACAATAGAGGGCGCCACGTAATTACACATTTCTGTTTATACTATAGTCGAGAGACATTAGATTTATTTACAAGGTATTTTGTACAGTATATATGCATAGATAGTGCAAGTCATAATTTATTTTCAACTATAAGTGTAAATGCTTAAAACTAGAGCAGCTAGATATATAGGTATATATATATATATATATATATATATATATAAGCCTAGTGGTAATTTGTGGTGGTAAAATATTTAGCTAGGTCCGAAATCTGAATAAAACTACACAGAACGTGAAATAATTTTACTTTAGTTGAGTTTACTTTACTTTACGATGGCGGCAAATTAATTTTCTGCATTAAAGTTCCTTAACTGTCACCTGACAGTGGGTTATGTTGAAGAGGCGGGCACACTGGAGTGGGACGATTTCAAGCCTCTAGTTTCATGCAAGCGTCTCCCGGGAGTATCTACTACCACGTCTGCAGCACTCACTGGAAAAGAGAAGAAACCGAAGAGTATGGGTCGATCATAATAAGTCGGTGAAGATAGGAGAGACTGAGCGAGCAACAAAGAGTTACGCCTCTTTCATGAAAACAAACTTAGCTGGCACAACTGGAACAAAGTGCTTGGTTCTTTTTAGAGAGATTTCACGCGCTACAGAACTTCCTGCTCAGTTTCAGAAATCCGATGAGACTGTGGATATAATGCACAAACTGATTTTGGCTGATTGTTACTCTTGAAGATACATAGGTTGACTTTTTTGCGTACTTTAAGTCCTGCGCCTCACTGCTCTCGCTCCTCAAAGCGCTCTGGCACACCTTTACAAATGTTATGACAAACATTTAATCGAAGATAACAGTCTGAGTAGTTCGCTTTGTGTTGTTTTGGGGAGAGAAAAAGATGAACCCGCGGCTTAAGTGTCTAGCTCGACTGCTTTTGCTGGCCCTGTCTTGGGAATTCAGCGCACAAGGAGCCACAGATCGACAGATAAACCCGGAGGTAAGTAGGCTGAATGATTAGAATGTGAATATAAGTATAAGTAAAAGTATCAGTGTGAGTAAAATTCATAAACATTAACACTGAAATGCATTCCAAATTTGAAGAGCCATAGCTAAACACAAATTCCAAAATAATCCCAATCAGGAGTTAAATAGGCCTATTAGCTCTGCAGCCTAAATCAGATTTAAGTTTCACCTACAATCTAGTTTTCTTGCAAAGGATGATTGGAGGATTACACGAATAAACCGTATGATATAACAATCTGTGATTTATAAACATCGCTTATCTCAAAGTGAATTATACTATAAATGCGACATCTGTTGACTCCTAAAATGTTTGTGTTCTGCTCCGGGATGATGTCAGCTGGTCTTCTTGCTTGGGTAGGGCTGTGACCCAGGGTTAGAGGAAACAGCGAATCATGATGATTGTGCTCATAAAGTACTGAAAAATCGCTGAAATGGCAAAACAAAAGAAATCGGAGAGGAGGCAAATGAGAAAGAAATGCATGAGCTTGTATTGTGGTTAGGGGCAGAGACAGGGGCGAAATTTGTGGGAAGGGTAAAAGGGAGAGGAGAAGTACAGAGGAACCATCATCTGTATATTATTCAGAGGGATGGGCAAATGTAATAGTTGACATCTGTCCTAAATTATGACCTGGCCAATGGGTGAGGTGGGTTTAGAAGTATAAACGTTTTAAATAAACACATGGCAGAGTTTGTTGTGGTTTTATTATACCATATCATGAAGATTTTAATTTAGTGCCTAGAATGACCATTATCAAGTGTATGCTACATTTGCCCCATTACGTCAGTGTATTTCAAAACCCCTACACATGTGGTCTTCTTCAGTCTTCAAATCCAGGAGCAGTAACATTTCATATCAGTGCTGTGTTAAAGAAGTCAAATGCATTTTTTCCTTTGTGGTAGTGAAATACGATTCACTGACCTACTAAAGCTACATGAAGTGATGAAGGCATTTATCATGGTGCCAAGATTTGGGTAAAGTTCACAAAAGCCATTTATGGTACAGTTATACAATATTGAGCATTTATATTAGATATAACACATGCGCAGGTATCTGAATAGGGAAGAAAATTTGGTAAAGCTACAGAAGTGAATTACTTTCATCTGTACTATTATTTTGGTGTGGTATTCGTCTACATTCTATAAGACGGCCATAAAAGCACATATTTGGAACCATCAGAAAGCAATGACCACATAGCCAGACAGATGGTCATGAAAGAAGTACAAAGCAGCAAATACAATGAGGACACTGTTGATGACTAAAAGGCAGGCATTGTGGCAAAGAATGATGTAATTTAGGAAGTAAAGTGAACAAAATCTAATGGGGATGAATGACATGATGGGGATGAATGATAGGATGAATGAACAGAGATGTGTTAGTAGAGATTTAAGCTCTATCCTGAGGATGTGACAAAGGAAGGAAGAGTGTGCATTACTTCTGAGTCAACACCAAAGGGTGGTCTGGCCAATTTCCTGAACAAAGATATAAGGTGTTAAAGGAAATAGCATAATGAGTAAAATCATTACTTAATTTCCCATTCATAGGAGTACAGAGCTAAGAGCCAAATGTAAGGTTTGTAGTGTATTTTTAAGACTCACAGAAATGCATTATTATGGGGAAGTTAAAAGAGCTGGTATGATTATATACTCGCATATGGAGGAGGTGATGTATCGTTCAGACAGTAAAAGCCCCAAAGACAGTAAGTAGGTTTGATTTATGACATTTTTTTGTTTTAGTAGTTAAGTTCTGCACTCATGGGTATACAGGCAAAGGGCTTATGTGGGGTAGTAGGTTTTTATACATGGTATAAGCTTGGCCTCATCATCATTGGGTTTTTTACCCTTGGCTTTCAGTAAATGGAACAACTGACTTCTTTCTTTGCTGAAATGTGATCCCTGTCACTTTTTCTTGTCCTTTGCATGGCTCTGACATGCATAGCAACCGTTGCTTTATGCTTGTAGATATTCCACTAAACAATAAAGTCACCGCACACGAACTCAGCAACTTATAGCTCAAACTGAAAAGGTTTGGCCCTTCAGATCACAAGTAAGGGCACCATCTTTCACAGTGAAACAATTTTGACAATTTTACTTCAAAGACTAGCCTTTGCATATGCTGTTAGCTCGTATAACACTGTAAAGAGAGACCGTTTCCCCTTACTCAGGTAATTTCTGTAGTCAGAAATAGCTTGCTGTAGTGGTGAATAAGACGTGCCACCTATGGGATCTATCCAAGAAGTGTGGGAGTCATGAAGTTAAAACAATATAAAGTGTCAATGGGCCCCTTTTGCCTGAGTTCAAGAAGAAAGGAAAAGCTCTATATTTTTTCAGTGATGCCAGTGTGACTATACAAAAATCACTGCTTAAATCAACAATCATTAAAAGGAGATCACAGAAGTTGGGCAGGTACTTGTTCTGACTAACCTATGCCTTTCCTCCTTCTACTCCTCTCTCTGGCACTGGTGCAGATGTGTTCTAACACTGCGTCTTTATGTGTCCACCGGAGCTCCACGGGTGAGTCACGACCAGAAAAGCGTCATTCAAAGACTAACCACGCAGACCTCCATGCTTCCCTAAAACAGACCAAGTGCCAGAGACTATTTAGAAGATAATAAGGTCTCCCAGCATGCTCATTTAGTAAAGAAATAAAAAAAAAAAAAAGTCTACACACAGCTACAAAATTCGTAATTCTGGAGTTCAAATTTTGTTCAAACAAATATGTGCAAAGAATATAGTTCATCAAGAAAGGTTACCCATTATTGGTGTATGATATAATCACTACCCTCTTGTCTCATGTTTTTGTGCAAACTCAAAGGAGTGGGTCAGTTGTTTATTCAGTCACTATATTTGCTTGTGCATGATGAAACCTTAACATTATACTTTTTCATCACTATAAACAACAGGTAAGATTTAGATCAATTATCTCATGGGTGTGGTGTTAAATTGGTCTTAACACATGATTTGTCCTTAAGAGTGAGGGAGACAGAATGGGGAGTAGCAAAGGAGTGGAGTGACAGAGACATGGATATAGAGTTTGAGGTTTGGATGAGATGAGGAAGAAAATTCCCAGAAAAAAAAAATTGTCTGACGCTGCAAAAGGGCTGGAGTGGAGACACTAGCTGAGGTTGCCCAAGGCCTTAGGCTCGCTCACCCTTGGACACTCCCATGATCCTATGCGCTGTTTGCTGAATTCAAATTACTACTCTCGTTTTTGCTTTTTGCCTGCAATCCAAAGACATTTGATTATTAGAAATAAGATAAAGCATTTTGAAATCACAACTGAAAAAAAAGAAGTGGGGTGTAGTAAGTTGTCTATTTTATATTCATCCTGATCATCAAGCTCTTAGTGTGTTGGCAGTTGTTGAGTTGTCAAACCAGAACTGGATGGAAACTCAAAGATTTTAGAGGCAAAGCAAGGTCAAGTTTTAAGACTGAAAATACAACTTGAAGCAAATGGTGTATGTTTTTTTTTTCAACTCAATTTGGTGTTGGTAAAAATGAAACAAGATTTTTTGTTTGTTTGACACAGTTTAAACATTAAGGCTTGTTTTTTAAGATGGTAGAGCTGAGTATCAGTTCACTACCATTAGTTATTTTGCAAAGGTCTGCCAACATTTTGTTGCTCCAACTTGCGTAATTTTTAAAACTGTGTACTATTTTAGTGGGTTTTTTTGCTGTCAGTGTGGAATGTGTTTTTATCGCAGACACATAAAAAAGACCACTAGATGATATATGTAGGTGTTTTGTCAAATCTAAAACTGCATACCATTTCTTAATTTTATGTTTATCAGTGTTTATATTTATTAGTCACTGTTTCATCTTCCTTGTCCAACAGTCATGGCTGCAGCAGTATGGGTATCTGCCCCCAGGAGATTTACGGACCCACTCTCTTCGTTCTCCAAACTCTGTCACTTCAGCAATTGCCAGTATGCAGAGATTCTATGGCCTCACTGTCACTGGCACCTTTGATACAAATACTATTGAGTAAGTCGTTTTTGAAATACTTTTTGCACACGTAGACATGTACCTCTTACTGGGTTGACATTGTTTAATACCATTAAGGGCAATGAAGCGGCCGCGTTGTGGCGTTCCTGATAAATTTGGTGCTGAGCTCAAAAGTAACCTCAGAAGGAAGAGATATGCTGTCCAGGGCTTGAAATGGAACAAAAATGACATCACTTTTTCGTGAGTAAACAATAAAATTACCCAATCTGCCATATGCCCAAAATAACCTAAACCTAAATCTTTACTTCTCCTTTTGTGCAGTATCCAAAACTACACTCCGAAGGTGGGTGAGCATGACACCCATGAAGCAATCAGGAAGGCTTTCAAGGTCTGGGAGAGTGTGACCCCTCTCCGGTTCAGGGAAATCCCCTACAGCTACATTCGGGACAAAGTGGAGGATTTTGCCGACATTATGATCTTCTTTGCTGAAGGATTTCATGGTGACAGCAGTCCATTTGATGGAGAAGGGGGTTTCCTGGCTCATGCCTATTTCCCTGGTAATGGCATCGGTGGAGACACTCACTTTGATGCAGCTGAGCCATGGACTATTGGAAACCGAGACCTACTGGGTAAGACTGTGTTGAAATGCAATGGCATTTAAGGGCTTTTCCTCAATTGCCTGCTTTTATTTAAACTAGTGACTCATAGTGTACATAGATGCTGGGAGTTTCTTTAGGAGTCCTAAGCCTTTTGTCTTCATGGGTTTCAAATTTAAACTGCTGTGTCCAGTCCTCCCTAGTTATTACCACATTAATGCAGAAGTGTTTATTCCTGGGGTAAAGCTGAAGATGAAATGGTGACTCTTGAGCACTTTTTAGATGTGTGAATCACATATCACAGTGATTAAATATATGTTTATTTTATGAAACTTCCTTTTCTATAAGCATCTCATGGCCAAGGAGATTAAACAAATGAACATTTTAATTCAAAGTAAATAATTGTTTGTCTAGGTAATGACATATTCCTGGTTGCTGTGCATGAACTGGGCCATGCCCTGGGGTTGGAGCACTCCAATGACCCCTCTGCCATTATGGCACCGTTTTATCAGTGGATGGACACTGAGAACTTCCAACTTCCAGATGATGACCGCAGAGGAATCCAACAACTTTATGGTGCAGGTATTCACATGTCATAAAATGTTGATATTATTGACAAAAAAAATCATAGTATCTTAAATTGAACTGAACATCTGCTTTGTTTGTAGGCTCTAATGTTCCTCGTGTTACACCTCATACACCATATGATCCAACACAACCTCCTTATTCTCCTGGCAAACCTCGCTTTGGCCCAAACATCTGTGAGGGACATTTTGACACAATTGCCATTTTGAGAGGAGAAATGTTTGTATTCAAGGTACTTGAATATGAAAATCATTACAACACAGATGAGTGAAGTGTTTTTCCAAGCCAAAATACTTTTGGTTCAGACTAGTGGTCTGCTAAGTGGTGAGTTGCTATAATGTAATTTTTATCTCTTCAGGATAAATGGTTCTGGCGAGTACGAAACAACCATGTCATGGATGGATACCCTATGCCCATTGGACATTTCTGGAGAGGATTGCCCACTCACATCAATTCTGCCTTTGAAAGGGAAGATGGAAAATTTGCTTTCTTTAAAGGTACTCAGATTCCAATTATAGTAAAGATATTTTGAGACATATTATATTTTGTGTCTATGTTTCCAGTGTATTTCTTACTAATGTTTTACGGTTTCTGCAGGTGATCGATACTGGGTATTCAGTGAGTCTGTTTTAGACTCAGGGTTCCCAAAAACACTAACTGAAATGGGCTCTGGACTTCCTAGAGATCGAATAGATGCAGCACTCTTTTACACACCAACAGGACAAACATTCTACTTCAGGGGAAACAAGTTAGTCACTTTCTTTTTCACTATGCATCATATGACAATTTAAGAAACTGGTCTGCAAGGCAAAATACTTCCATTAGCCACCAAACAATTACTATGAAAGTGGTGTGATTTCAAAATGTTTTAAAA